GGCAAAACCAGTATGTCCTCTGGGAGTTCAGATGTTCGCAGCACCACATAAACAAGCCCCGTGACCACTCCTTGCAGGTCAGGAGGCCAGAAGGAGCAGGACTGTTACTGTTACCAGATATTTATGGACAAACAGGAGGATCTGGTGGTTCCCGATGTGCAGCAGTTAGTGGAACACTCCTTCCTATCCTCCGAGCTGAAGCTAGTGGAGGTGAGCCCGGCTACCTTCCGCCTACACTGCTCTCTGCTGCCTCTTTCTTGCTTCCTCCAACGTACCTGTGCCTGCCAGTGAGTCTAGTATGCCTTACATCCAATCCTGCCAAGCAGCAGGATACAGCCACGAGAGAGAGGTCTTGGGGAATCTGAGCGTGACCTAGGAAGAGGGCTGTGCTTTCCCTGTCGCCATTTTGTCTTGTGAATAACCAGAGCAGAAAGTCTTTACTCCCAGCAGCAATATGGAGAGAAGAGTCTCTGAGGTTTGTCTCTTCTGGCAGGGTGACTCGTTTGCCTTTCTTTCCCCCAGATCCCATCTTGCTTCATTATCCAAATGCCGCGTTTTGGGAAGGACTATAAAATGTTCAGCAAAATCATTCCTTCCTTGGAGCTGGATATAACAGATCTGCTGCTTGACAGTAAGTTGTGAGGCAATGGTAAAGCTGCCCGGCTGGACTGCGAACAGCTGGGTGAGGGATCTCGCCTCTGTGGGTTGTGAGCAGATGTGAGGCGGGATCGTGGGGTGATTCTTCTTCCCCGAACACCAGTTTTGGCAGGATGAAATTTGGATTTCGGGTGAGACCCGGAGAAGACACGTCCTCTCACCCCTGTTGCCTCTGCAGGTCCCAGGGAGTGCTGCGTGTGCGGTGATGTCGCCACCCTGGAGTGTTCGGAGTGTTTCAAAGACAAGGTGTTCGCAGCTACGGGCTTGAAGCAGTTCTGCAGCTCCTGCTCTAGACAGGTATTCATTTTCTTTGGCTGCTTGTGTTGAGCTTAAATAAGGACTGATCCTGCACAGGGTGCTGGGCCTTCCACGCCATCTCCCCAGGAGCATTCCTACAGCTTTCGGGCCTTTCTTGGTGGGTGACAGGCTCACATCTCAGCTTCTTGCTGCCAGCCTGTTGACACAGTGCCATTGCCTGGCACGCAGGGACCATGGGAGTCAGAGCAGTGGGGAATGTAGGTCCAGTCCTCCTCAATATATTCATCAACAACCTGGATGAAGGGACAGAGTGCACCCTCAGCAAGTTTGATGATGACACAAAACTGGGAGGAGTGGCTGACACACCAGAGGGCCGTGCTGCCATTCGGCGAGACCTGGACAGGCTGGGGGGGTGGGG